ATTCCTGCTGTATGAGTATAGTATCCTTTCAAGCTTTCAAGGGTTTGGAAGATTCTACCCAGGTTTCAGAGAATCAGGCACACGCCCACCTCTACTTTGTTGCCCTGTGGGAGGAGAATCAAGATGGAATTTTCCAGTTTACAGCTTAAACTTCACTGCTCAGCCTTGAAAGTAGAAGTTGTACACTGATGGCCTTTAGGCCAGACAAGTTATATTTGACCTGACAGTAATACTTTAAAATTTCAATTATTTGCAAGAATTTAGAACTCAGGTGATCTCAGAAAAATCCAGATTTCTGAGTTTTCTTGGAAAATGGAAAAAATGAACACTGGGTTTATATTGTTGACAGCAGTTGGCTGATAGAGCTGAGTCATGGCTGCCTCTGTTGGGCAGTGGGTGGTGTGACCAGGGTGGCAGTCCCTGCCAGTTCAGTGCTGTTATTTTTCAGGGCCTTCTTCATTTATTTCTCTCACTTACTTGGCTCCTTCAGAAATATTTGAGTTTGTGGTTCTGCTTTAAATAAAAAATAACCAAAGCCATATTCTGATCAGATTAGCAAAGACTTAAAATAACTGCCCCCTGGGCCAATAATCTAGAAACTCATGGAGAATAAGAGAGGTGACAAAAAAGTTGAGAGAGGTAAATGTCTTTGTTTTCAAGAGGAAAAAAAAAACAAAAACCAGTGGATTCTGGAAACCAGATCAGTGAGATTAGCATGAATTCTTGGGAAAGTTATTAATCCAGGTCTTTGGGAGTATGCAGGAAAAGAAATGGAGATCATAAGGAACCAAGGTTGGTTAAGCATATACAAGGCATATGCCTAAGTCCATTTCTTTTTGTGGGAGAATTACCAGTCTGATAGTGGAAGGTCACTAGTATAGTGGATCTTTATTGCAAAAAAACATTGATAGTGATTTTTGATGTCCTTGTGAGCAAGATAGGGAATTATATGCTGAATACTTAAATGAATGATTTGTGCCTAGTTGAACAATAAAACCAAAAGAATTGTCTAAAGTGTCTTTGTCAAGCTGACAAGTGGTTTCCCTGTCTGGAACCATAGCCAGCCTCATTACACCTCACTGTAAATCCCTGTGATCTCCCATGATTATCTTGGCCAACGAGTCATCGAATCCCTTTTCCTTGTCATTCAGCTGAGTCAAGGATCTTATCTTTCAAAAAGGTGTTTACTAGGCAATCAAACAGAAAAACATGAAAAGTTTTCATCAGGCACTAATTTCTTATCCTAAGAAAGTCCAGCCGTCCCCAGGCTAGGATCATGTGCCTTGCTATGCAGAGTGCCAGGTTTCCTTCCAATCCTTCTCATTATCTGGGTTGGAAGGAGATCAAGCCATTTCATGCATTTCTACCCTAAGGGAGATGTGGGTGTCTCAATTACTTGGCCTGGTGGTATTCACACTGTGCTCCTGAACTTGCTTTCTGGTGTCAGCTCCATGAATGATAATACCCTCTGTCTCTGGGTTGTGATGACTTTTTACCTTACAACTGTTCAGGGCTCTGATTCTGTTGTTTTGAATGTGCATCTTTGGCTCCAGAAATCTCTTTCCTAGGCTGGTAGCTCCTTGCCATTCTTGGAAGACCTTATGGCTCCAGACCTCTAGGAGTCCTATTGTCACTCCTAGTTGGTTTATCCACAACATAGATACTGGATTTTGATAAGGATGTTTTTCTCTTGAAGTAAAGCATGGCTTCATTTGACCATCTAAGCTAGTGGTTTGGTCTTAACAATTGCTATTGTGCCAGTGGCACCTGCCATCTTCCAGAGCTTTTCTGTCTTAGGTTAACTCCTGTTGATGACTTGTGCCTTGGTGGGCTGGACCCCATCCAAGTGACTAAATTCTGTAAATGGCTTCCTTCTGGTTGCCCATGGAGAGACCTAGAATCCTATCACTTCCTGAATACCATGAAAAACATATTTCATACATATTGTAAACATAATGGGCCCCATCAACAGCAAGGAAGATAGTTTCCTCTTATGAAAACACAGAAAAAATGCGTTTCAAAGGTAGAGATGACATGAAATGGGGACAAAAAGCAAATGCATTAGAAGCCATATCCAGAGTCAAAAAGATTTCAACAGTTGGGGATGACTTGCTGAAAGAGATAGAATGGAATTTGAAGAATATATGTACAGTTCTGAAAATTCCAGTTTAAAACAACTGTGTCTTTAAGCTCAGGATTGGAGATACCTGCCCTAGGTCATGCCAGGGTTAGGATGAAGGTGGGGAGTTGGAGATTTTGTTTTGACTGAGGAAGGTCACTGTGACCTGCATTCAAAGGAGTTATTTACTCTTAGGTGTGTTAATAGCAGTACTCTGTTCGTATTGAGCAGGGAGGCCCCAAGCCCTCTGCCCAGGGATTGGGCACTGGCAGCCTGTCGGCCAAATGCATTGTATCGTTTGACTAGCGTATCGATTTTGAAAAATTTGGGCGAGGCATGTCTTAAGCATTTATGTTGCTTTCCTGATTCTAAGTGCTTTTGTGTTTGTGGATGATTCTCCCTCCTCACCCCTATGTAGAAACACACTTCTGGAGCTCTGGGATCCATCCAAAGCTGACACTTGGAGAATGACTTAACAAGGAAGAGGATAATTGGGATGGTTAAGGAATCAAGACACCAGTTCATATTGTAATAGTTGAGGCCACAGTTCTGTAGCCTGGAGAGCTATCTTCAAATACTTGAAGGGTTGTTATATAGTAGAGAAGTTAGGCTCAGTTCATCTCAAGGAACGTTTATGGGCTATGCGCTTTACTTAAGTCATTAAAGTTTAGAGGATACAGAGAGGAGCAAGAAATCTCTGTACTGAAGGCCACACTCACCATTGAGCAATTGAGATACACAGAGATGGCTGTAAAATAGTAATACTTGCTCTGGTTCTCCAGAGGGCAGAAATGAGGAGGCAGATTTCAGCTCAGTTTAGAAAGGCCTTTTCTAACAATTAAAGATGTCCCCAAATGGAATGGGTTGCCTTGAAAACTAGTCACCAGTCACGTTGTTCAATTGTGGGACATGACATGGAAGAGATTCCTGCTTTGAATGGGTATTGGAGCAGATGACATTTCTAGGTCCTTTCTACCTCTATTAGCTTGTGGTTCCAAGACTTAACTTATTTATTTTTTTATTATTTTATTTTATTTTATCAGTAAACAATGTAGTTGATTTTTGTGTCCCTTTACCCATTCCTCCCTCCCCCTTCCCTCTCCCCCCTTCCACACATCAACATCATATCTGTTCACTTGTCTTAACAAGTTCAAGGAATTGTGATTGTTATAAGACTTAACATATTTAGAGAGAGCTGTTACCATGTTAAATGCCCATGGGTTGTACTTGGTGTTCTGGGCAGACCACCCTGGGAAGGGTGTTGGATTGCAGGGTTTCCACAGTGTGGAGTTGCATTTGGTGCATTTGTCTGTGGAGACATAAGAGCCAATAGGCAGGGGCCTGGCTGGTTTTCTTATTCGTGGACCTGGTAGAAGAATCTAGTGGCATATTTGGCAGGTATAATCTTGTTGCTAGTTGCTTCTTTTGTTTGTTGGCTTGCATCTGGCTGTGAGGATCAATATTGTTCCCTTTGAGGTTGCAGTGATTCATTTCATGGGACAAATATCTTGAGGAAAGTGTTTCCCATGCCCTCACCCTCCAGGAACCCAGCTAATACCCAGAGATTAGCTGCCAAGACAGATTCCTAATTCTTCCTTTTTGATGGCAGAACTTTAAAATAATTCAGATATTTATTAATGTTGCGTCCTTAGAAATCCCTCAGCTCTAGGAAATGTGTAAGTCACATTTTGGCTCCATGCAGATGGCTGAACCGAGGAAAGGTAGCTTCTCTTCTCAGGCTTGAGGCAAAACGTTGTGGCTGCACCGTTCTGGTCCTGTCCTCCTTCTGCTACCACATGGTCATTGTCATAAGCTCTCACTTCCCTGCTGTCTATATAGTATAATTGTAAGGAAGGCAGAGATGGCCTCTTTTTCCTGGCAAACACATTCTAAAGATCAGAAAGACACACTTTCTGGATTTGGCATTTCTCCCTAATTTTTGTGTGTTTGGTCCTGGTTTATCTGTTTGAGATATCATCCCTCACCCCCTGCAGATATGTCAAAAATCACTTGAAGGATGTAGAGAAAAGGTATAGTAGGTGAGGGGAGCAGAACTGCCACCCATCTCCCCAACTATGCAGAACAGACAGGCAGTTCTCTGCTTCATTTGGAAATAAAATAACTGCAGAACAGATATCAACAGTTGTACCTGAAGGAGAGGATTTTCCAGAGCAGAACATCCATCCCTTCCCAGTTATTCTTTCCAACATTCCATATCCCTCAGCTCTCACTAGGTTCCAGGTTAACGTGTGCATTGCCTAGAGGACAAGTCAGTCTAATGCTGGAGGAGGATTTTTCTAATGCCCACCTATGGCACAGGTTGGCTACAAAGAGTTAAGTTCATCTGGAAAACTGATCTGTAGGTTAAGCAGAGTGGGGCTACAGATGTGTAATCCCCATTCTGAGGATGTGACATCTCTTCTTGTAAGTGTCATCACTTTCTTGGTGCTATCTGGTAAAAACTGAGTCATGAGGTGCCGACAAAAATCCAGTGCACTTAATGTGAAACTTGAGGCATTCTGCTCATTCCTGAGATATTCACAGCTGTCAGCTCTGCCGTTTAGATGGTAAACAACTTGCTGGGGATGAAATCCTGCCACTGTGACTTTTTCCAGCTTGTCTGAGTGAGGCATAGGCCCAGACGGTGTGCCTGTGAAAATCTGAGGAAGGAGAGCATTACTCATTGGCGACTGGAAGATCAGGTAGCCTCGCCCTTTGCAGAGCCCTGCTTCCAAAGTAGCCTCATGGAGGGAGGCAAAAACCAACTGTTTTTGTCTTATGAGCTTTAAAAAAAATCATTCCCGCCTGACTGCCGATGAGCATTTCCAAATGGCAACTGTGAGCCAACCTGAGCCTTGTTCTTCCTTCTTTGTGTTTGCAGCCACGGCACGGGGTACGAGAGTGATAACCACACAACACCCATCCTCTGCGGTGCCCAGTACAGAATACACACCCACGGCGTCTTCAGAGGCATTCAGGTGAGTACTTGGGGTTGTCCTGGCTGGCAATGGGCTTCTCTCCCTCCTTCCCTCCTCAACAGCTCCCTGCTGGTGGACACTTCGACCTTGGCAAGTCTGTTCTTAATTGTAGGCTCTTTTGACATCAGGGACCCCTCTTCCACTGGGTCAGATGAGGCAACTTCTTCCTGTCCCAGAGATGCTGCCTCCTGCCCAACTCAGACCAAAGTGCCTCCTGCAGAATCCCGTCTTTTCCTCCTTTACTGCTTAATCTGCCTTCTCTTGGGTGGGTTGTGCAGCTCTTGTGTTTGGGCTAATTGGGCTTGAATTATCAATCTGGATCCTCAACTTCTAAGAAGATTTGGTCTGCATTGTAAAGTTCCCACACGTAGAGTCTATCTTGCCAGGTGTTAATAGTAGTAATAATTATAATCACAGTACCACCTATGACTGGACGTTTTGTATATGCCAGGCATTGTGCTAAGTTTTATACATGGACTATTTTTTTAAATTGACTTTATTTTTTAGAGAAGTTTTTCTTATACAGAAAAATTGCAGAGAAAGTACAGAGAGTTCCCATGTCCTCCCTCTCCCCTCCCCTCCCTCACATATTATTAACGTCTTGCATTGGTATGGTAAATTTGTTACAATTGATGAGCTAATATTGATACATTAGTGTCAGCTAGAGTCCAAACTTTATGTTAGGTTTCACTTTTTGTATTGCACAGTTCTATGGGATTTGTTTAATAAATGCATAATGCCATTTATCTATTATTACAGAATCGTACAGAATAGTTTCACTGCCCTAAAAATGCCCCATACTCCACCTAGTCATCCCTCTCCCTCTCCCCCCTTTCCCAAACTACCACTGATCTTTTTTTCATGTCAAATATAGTAGTCCCCCCTTATATGCGGTTTCGCTTTCTGTGATTTCAGTTACCCATAGTCAGCAGTGGTCCAGAAATAGTTGATACAGTATGGTACGGTAAGATATTTTGAGAGAGAAAGAGAGACCACATTCCATAACTTTTATTACAGTATATTGTTATATAATTGTCCTATTTTATTATTAGTTCTTGTTGTTAATCTCTTACTGTGCCTAATTTATAAATTAAGCTTTATCATAGGTATGTATGAGAAAAACAGTACATATAGGGTTCTGTAGTATGTACACATGGTTTCAGGTATCCATTGGGTGTCTTGGAATGTATCCCCCACAGGTAAGCGGGGAACTGCTATAGTTGTAATCACACTATATATACCTTTTTCAGACTGACTACTTTTACTGAACAGTGTGCATTTATGGTTCTTACCTGTCTAGACAGGGCCTTTTTTCCTTCATTTAATCCTCAATACATCCTTGTGAGGTATAGGTACGGTTATTATCCCCATTTTATGGATGGGAAAACCAAAGCCCAGAGATGAGCGACTTATCCAAAATCACATAGCCGGTAAGTGGTGGAGCTGAGACTTACAACACAGGTCTTGTCTGACTCCTTGTCTGTAACCACTGTGTTGTACTGCTTCTTAGGGAGACAGAGGACAGTGACTGTGAACAGGAGAGTGAGAAAAGTAAAGTAGAAAGGTAAAATTTCAGAGGATTCGTAAACTCAGCGGAAGGCCACTCTGCAGAGCCTCTTCTGGGTGGCCAGAACCACATGCAGTTATGAAGGTTTTGCATTTGTGACTTACAAACATGACTCAATGGCTGCAACATGAGTAACAGCTGTGATACTTTCACCAGAATGGTCAGTGCCCCAGAAATAAGTTGTGTGTGGGCCAGGCCCCCCACCCCCACGTGATATGTGGGGCAAGTAGCTCTGTGATGTTCTGATGAATGTTTCCAGAAGTGTCAGGGATGTAGAACAGTGTGCTCCCTCATGCTGAGCCTTCCTGCGGTGAGAAATAAAGGCAAGGGTTACAGAAACAGGGAAATCTGATGGAGGTTCGGAAAGACTCATCCAGTCTCTCCCTTGACCAATACTGTCAGAATCCTTCATCAGGACCCTGACTGACATTAACAATTCAATTTTATATCCTGTTCTCATGAGCACTGCATCTAGGATGAATGAAAGGACATGAAAAATGCTGTCTTTGCTTTCCTACTCACCAAGCCTAGTTTGTTAGACTCACTGCCACGGCCTCTAATAAACTCCAGATGGAACAGGTGGTGTTTCACTACCTGCTCATTTTCTCCTAGAGTATCCCAATCACATGTAGCTGGCTCACCATGTAATTTTACACCACCATATGCCCAGAGACACTGTGGTCTATCAACACCAACGTTGTTTGTCACTACAGAACTTTTTCTTCCAAAAAAGACAGGGACCTCTCAGTGCAAGGCAATGTGAAATAGGAACTAGAACGTTAGCGTGGCATGGAAGATGCACAGGGTGGGGAGCCAGGTAAGCTCAGAAGTGGTTCCAGGTCTTGACACAAAACCTGGATGTGCATAAATGGCATCAGCTGCTCCCCCTCTTTGGCCTTGACTTGAACACCAGTAAAAGAGGACTCATTGGCCCCTCAGGCACTTGCACAGCTCCCTGTGTGACTTGCTGGTCCCAAGAGCAGGGAGGGGAGCTTGCCTTTCTCTTCCTCTAGCTCCTTTTCTTGGAGGACTGACGATACACACAATGCCCTTCCACAAGGTAAAGGGGATCGACAGATGCCCTGAAAGGACATGTAAAGTGCATGGAAGGCAGATGGATTCCAGTGTTTTCTGGTGTCCGTGTTAAAGGTTGTACTGTCTATACCGTGCGCTTCTGTTGAGTTTGGCTTCCTTTACAGATGAAACCCCCAAATCCAGGGGCTCGTTCTTCTTTGTCATTCACTTATGCATGGAAGTTCTGGAAAGTTTGGGCTCATTCAGTATCCGTGTATTTCTCTAATAAGGACTTCCCCACCCATTACAGACTGGATTGGGCCCAAGGTCATGTGGTTGTATCTCTGAGTGGGAGAGAATAGATAGATTCTGGGACTTTGGACTTATGGAGAAGCCGAGAGAAAGGAGGGATTGGGAGCTATTCGAAGCACCAGAATTTCTTTTCCAGAGGCTGTGGGTCAGCGACCCCAAATAGATTTCATTTCAAGTACCAGTTCTGGTTGATCAGTAGTGATGATGGTAAAGCACTGCTGGTCCTGATCTACCATTCATCCATTAGTGATGTCTGCCATGGGCATCTGGGGTGGGGAGTGTTTGTAGGTACCTGCCCTCCTTTCTTTGGGTATATTCCAATGCTCACTCTCCCTTAGGACCGACATGAATGTTCATACATAGCTTAAAGCCTCCATTCCTCTACCACTGTTCCTGCAGGACGTGCGGCGCGTGCCTGGAGTTGCCCCGACCCTTGTACGATCAGCGTCTGAGACCAGTGAGAAGCGCCCCTTCATGTGCGCGTACCCGGGCTGCAATAAGAGATATTTTAAGCTGTCCCACTTGCAGATGCACAGCCGGAAGCACACTGGTAAGTGTGTCCACCATCCAGCCTGGGGCAAGGGTGGTTCAACAGCTCCTGCTCCAGGCTGTCACACTGCCAAAAACACAGGTGCAACATTTTCCTATTTATTTATAGGAACAGTAGAGACTATTATATTAAGTAGTTTTTATATGCCAGGCTGTCTACATGTATTATTTCATTTAATCTTCACACAAAAAACAATTGTCAGGAGGGTAGAATATATGGAAAAAGGTCTCAAACTCCTGCCTTTGCACTCCAAGTCAATTCCGTTCTCAAAGAGTTTATGGTTTGTTCTGGAGCTGGGATAGACACAAATGGAGAGGGAGTAGGAAGCATATGGTCACGTACTAGATCAGAAACTGGAGGAGCTGAGGCGATCAGAGGGTGTGGATTCGAGCTAGGGTCGTCCAAGAAGGTTTCTTGGAGGAGGAAGGGCTTGGGTTATCCATTGTAGGAGAGTAAGGTCAGAGGGTTGAAAGAATGAGCAGATGCACAAAGGCAGGGAAAAGAAATCAGACTGGAGAGGGGTCTTGTCTTCTCTGGGTTGTAGAGCTGAAGCATAAGGCCCTGGGCTGGATATAAATGTAAAGGTAAGGAAAGGCTCCTGCCCTCAGGATTTTCCAGCCCATGGAGGAAGGCAGACCTGGACACAGCTCACCGCCTTAGATGTTCTGGAATAAATTCTGTAATGAGGGAAGGGAGGAGTTTACATCTGAACATGGTTTCCAAGCAGGCATCGTAGAGGAGGTGGCATTTGTGAGGGACGTGTAATAGGCTTCTTGATGACGAGATAGGGATGAAGGGTATTTGCTGTGAGCACAGTGCCAGGGGGACTTGGGGAATGTGAGCTCTGGCACAGTGGGAACGCAGATGAATCCGAGAAACAGCAGAGGTCATGAGGCTGGGAAGGTAACTGGGGCCGCCCCGCAATGGAAAGACCCGATGGAGCCCGGGTCAACTTGCTCTCCATCCCAGAATGCCAGTGACTCAGAATTCTCCTGAGAAGGCAGGAAGGCTGGCGGTTGTTCTGTGCACTCATGGGGCTCAGTTCCCAGCATTTGGCTGAACTTTGTCTAGTGAAGACAGGGGTGGGGCTTCTCCACTCTGAGGCGGGAGGTTGTGTAATCCCATTAGTGACTTCTCTCCGATAAAGGGACACCCAAAATTTCCTAAATGCTTTGGCTCCTGGTTTGACTTGAGCATCTCACAACCGTGGAGTCATTTATGCTTGACTCAGGAATGAGACATCCGTAGCAGAGAACACCAAATCTTCAGGCCATAAAACAATTATTTCATGGAGCCGGTCTCAGGGCACATCCATCCCAGAATTCTGCCTCAGGCTCAGCCTAGGAGTTAAATATCCTCTGCTAATATTTTTTGAGCACTACTTCTGTGCTGAGTCCCTTACGTGGATGGTCTGGTCTAATCTGCTCATAAATTCTTTGAAGTTGTTGGATTTTTGGCCTCATTTCCCAGTGAGGAAACTGTGCCTCACCCAGAGTTTTTTGATTTTTTTTTTTTTGTCCTTTTTGAGACCAGCCGCACCGCGCTCAGCCAGTCATCCCTATATAGGATCCGAACCCGCGGCGGGAGCGCTGCTGCGCTCCCAGTGCCGCACTCTCCCGAGTGCGCCACAGGCTCGGCCCTCACCCAGAGTTTTAAGTGGCTGGTTAGGGGACCATCCTCATCCACTTAGCCCCCCAACCATTCTACCCTGCTGTCCATGAGCGAGTGTGCAGGCGGGCCTTTTATCTCACAATGGAGACGGGATCACAACCCTAACAAGCTCTAGCAAAGTGCCTTAGGCATTGTGAGATCCCTTCAGTCCAGTAGCAGAGGTGCCTTTAATGAGATCCTCATTTCCAGCATCATTTTCAAATAGAATATGTGTCTTCCCCAAGGTGAGAAACCATACCAGTGTGACTTCAAGGACTGTGAACGAAGGTTTTCTCGTTCAGACCAGCTCAAAAGACACCAGAGGAGACATACAGGTTTGTAGGTTCACTTCTCATTGCTGGCAGTCACGTTCCCTTGGGTTAGGGTTGATTTTGTGATTCCCTTTGTTGTTGGGTATGGATGAGAAGGTCGGCCATGTGTTCAGTTTTTCCAGTAATTTTTTTTCCTAATCTTTGGGGATTTTCTTTCTCTTAAAAAAAGAAAAAGAAAGAAGGAAAAGGAAACATCTCACATTTCTCCTGCAAGGCACAGAACAATGGGATCCCACTAGCAGTGGGCTAATGAAACTCTGAGCATCAGGAAAGAAAGAGGGTGGGAGAGAGTGAAATCCAGTGTGTAGCGTGTGATTCACTTTTTTAATCTCTGACACAGCTGAGACCGTCTAGCTGGTGAGAAGCTGGACATTTGTGGTTTAAGGATCGATTTTTCTCAAGACAGAAGCAGGTCCTGAGGATGACTGTGCACAATCAGATGGTTCCTGCTGGGCCTGGGGTGTTGGGGAATCTGAGGGTAAGGCAGACAGACATTGCAGGAGTGGCTGGAATGCCAGGCTCCTCCAGCCTCCTTGGGGGCCTCGCTGTGCCCCATGGTGTTAGGGCCGAGGCTAGACCTTCTCTGTCCATTTAGGTGTGAAACCATTCCAGTGTAAAACTTGTCAGCGAAAATTCTCCCGGTCTGACCATCTGAAGACACACACCAGGACTCATACAGGTAAAACAAGTGCGTAACTTTTCTTCACATTTATTTTTCATTATTTTTTAAAACTATTGTTGAAAGAAGTTATTGTGGTGAGAGAGAATAGAAAGGACTAGTGTAAAAGTTCTAAGGGTTACACTCAGCAGAGAGAACAAACAGTGCATGTCTATCTTTAGATGATAAATAATAACATTTTTTAAAACGGGAGGGGGAAATACAGAGCAGGAGGGAGATGTGAAAAGAATGCCCAGAGTGTCCAGAATGAAAAAGAAGAGATAAGCTGGGTCCTTACCATTCCCAGATGGCTGCCTCAAATTCTTATCACTCCATTGGATATGACAATCAATCCTGCAGAAAAACAGCAGAAATTCTAGCAAGCCAAACATTTATTCTGCTGAGAGCTTATATTTTACAACACTATTTTCAGAGAGCTGAGTTCTTGCTCCCCTGAAAGTTAATATCCTAGGAACAGTCTTGTTTTCTGCCAGACTGATATCATGTGTGAATATTATTTCCTTCACATTGGTATAGTCAGGGGAATAGGACATTTATTCACTGGTGACTGAAGGTTTTTCCTTCTCTGCAAGGCTGGTGTGACTCATAATGAAAACAGCACCACCTTCATTGCGTATGTTCCACATTTGGATGAAGGGCCAGTGCTTAGTAGAGCTCATTTTATCTTTACAACATCCTTGTAGGAAGAGGAGGGTAGGCATGCTTTATCCCCATTTTACAGATGAGGAGACCAAGGCATGCAGTGATTAAATGACTTGTCTAAAGTCACAAAGCTAGTAAGTAGCAAACCCAGTTCTGTGTGCTCCCAGCCCACCGTATCCCACCGCCTTCTTTGTTGGAGAAAGAGCATGAGTTCAACTTAGCAGTCCAGGGAGGAGCGAGAATCAAGAAGAGAGCCAAAGTCAGTGAAGTTGAATACCGTCAAGAGACTGAGAAGAATGGGGACTGACAAGAGAAAGGGTTGGGACTTGTCCATTAGGGGCCAGCCTTTGACAGTAGGGCTGGAGTTTGGGGTGGGGAGCAGGAGCCAGATGAGGAAGAGCAGAGGATCAGTGAGAGGGAGGTGAGGGAAAAGGTGACATCATCAACCCCTGGGCAGTCCCGGATTCTCAGCCCAACAGGCTTACCGACAGTCACAGGCTTTAATGACCTGTGCCCCAGGGATGGGTATCTTGCTCCCCCAACTCAGGTGCTTTTGATGTCACTTTTTAGACTTAGTTCTGAGCTCACAATTTGGTGGGAAAGAGCTCTTGTCCTCTGTATACCGCCTCCCCTCACCCTGCATAATGTGCAAAGTGACCTGTGTCACCAGCAGACTGCTTAATGCTATATTTGATTAGTCCCCAGTCTGACTCTGGGACAGCAGCTCTCCTGGGACATTTCTCAGTGCTTGTCCCAACCAGGAGTTCTCAGAGAAAGGAAAGCGGGACCAGCAATATCCTGAGAAGACCCTCCAGGTGGCACAGGGATTGGCTCCTGTGGCATTTTTTCCTTAGGATAATGCCACAGCTGTTTTTCCGTTATGGCTAGACCTGGGAGGTGTGATATAGGAAAGAGCAAGAGCTTTGAAATTAGACAACCTAGACTTGGGTCCTGCCTGGGTCTGCCTCCCCAGGTGTCCAACCTCGTCTGTAGAGTGGGTATAATAATTCTTCCCTTACGGGGCTGTTGTGAGGAATGCATGAGGTAATGTATATACACACATGATGCAGCACAAGGCTTGGCATATATTAAGCATTGAATAAATGCTAATTATTGTCCCTAACGAGAGAGAGGCTTGGAAGGAGCTTCTGAGGGCTCCTTAGATGGAGAGGCCTCGATCTTTTGGCAGAACCATGCCTCGACTAAACTTTTCCGTATAACAGGGATTATGCTCTGAGTAACACTTTAAGATGAAAGAAACAAGTATCATACAAATGGGTACTAGTGCTTTATTTTTAAGAATCCAGCCCGTCCAGAATATCTATACAGAGATATTAAAGCCACAGTCACAGCTCTATTACCAGACTGCAATCAGTCAGTAATATCCAGGGTGATAATCTGGAGGCTCATGCAGCCCAGTTAAGCTCAATTCCCTACTTAGACAGCAAAGGGCAAAATTTTTCACAGTTCCCAAAACGTTATGACAACAGAGGTTGAAAGAAATGTTTTTCCCCTTAATTAAATATGCATTGCCCAGACCTTTTTATTTACTAGACTCATTCTTTGTCTCCCTTTTCACCAGTCTTTTGACTAAAGAATATCTTATAATTTTTACAATATTTTAATCCTTAAATTTCCGAGAGGTGCTGCCATTCAAGGCTGCCTATGAGATGAGCCCAGCTGGTTAGTTAGCTTAGGGAAAGAACCACAGGGAATCTGGAGGGGGTGCCTTGTGATGATTTAACTTGGGCCTTTGATAGTTGAACTTGTGTCCAGTCTCTGTGCTGCAAGTGTCTCTGACTGGCAATTGTGTCAACAGGTGAAAAGCCCTTCAGCTGTCGGTGGCCCAGTTGTCAGAAAAAGTTTGCCCGGTCGGATGAATTAGTCCGTCATCACAACATGCACCAGAGAAACATGACCAAACTCCAGCTGGCGCTTTGAGGGGTCCAACCTGGGGACAGTCCTGTGTCCCAGGCAGTAAAGAGGATGGACTGCTTTCAAATTCCTCCTCAGTCACCTCTCTAAGAAGGAAATGGCATTTGATCTTCTTCTCCCACCTTCCAAGACAAGATACCTGTACTACTGGATCCTACCAGGTTTGCCTGGAGGAGTTGGTCTCTGCTCTGCCAACTTTTAGTTGACTCACAGGCCCTGGAGAAGCAGCTAACGGTGTCCGGTTGGTTAAAAGTCCATCGCCATTTGGTCTGGATTTTTCACTGTAAGAAGAGCCATTGTTGATAATGTCCCCCACCCTCCCCTTTTCCTTTGACGCTCGTTTTCACTAGGAATGGAGTTATTGTACCATTTTCCATCATGGAATATTTATAGGCCAGGGCATGCGTATGTGTCTGCTAATGTAAACTTTGTCATGGTTTCCATTTACTAACAGCCACAGCAAGAAATAAATCAGAGAGCAAGGCACTGGGGGTGAGTCTCGTCCGACATTCCGGAGGTCAGGCAGGCTGCTAACCTGGAAGACAGGATGTAGTTCCACCAAGGCAACTTTTAAACTCATGCGTTTCAAGCAGCTGAAAAAAGAGTCAGAACTAACCAGTACCTCTGTTGAGAAATCTAAAAGAATCTTACCATTCAGTTGATTCAATGTTAACATTAGCACAATGCTCTTAAGAAACTGTGTTTGAAGATCTGGGATTTTGTTTTTGTGTTTTTGACTTGTAATCGTATGCATCTTCAAAGATGTATGTATCTCCTCACACAAAGGAAGTGGAATTCATTTTCATCATTTGGGGTGTCCTTAGAGTGTACAGACCATGCTGGTTTATGTGGCTTCATTAAAATGACTTTAAAAGAAAGTAGGGGCTGGTCCAGGATCTCCATTGATAAGACTGTTCTTAACTAACTTAAGTAACTTTGTATCTACAAGTATATGTGAAAAAAATGAGACTTACTAGTGTGAGGCAATCCATTTGTTTAAAGGTCGCTTGGGGTGTGAGTGTGTGTGTGTGTGTGTGTGTGTGTGTGTGCTTTATTTTGTCTTGTTTTTTAGGGAGGGAGTTTATTATTTACTGTTGCTTGAAATTATTGTGTAAATATATATATCTGATCATGATTTGTTCTTTGACAACTAAAATTAGGAAATGTATAAATATTAGATGCATCACTGTTTGGGTGTTGTTATTACAATGTATTGATGATAACACTAAAAATGTAACATGCATTTTTCACTTTGCTCTCAATTAAAGTCTATTCAAAAGGAAAGTGGAAAGATTCTGTCAGCTGTATTGTGTTCAATCTCAGGACCAGCTGAACCTTTTTAAACAGGTAAGGCGATGCTGCTGACATTGATGGCTACTAGTTAGCCTACCCAGGTCTTGACCATAACTTATTTCTGTCTGTGGAACCTCAGGAGGGAAGTATCTGTCCTAGAATCAGCAGAGAGTGCGCCTCCATCTCACGTCATAAAGTGATTGTGGTTGGATGGGTTTGTGGATGGTGTGGTGTGAATTGTGTTTTAGAGTTTGTTTTAATCGGGTTATCATTGCATCACTTCTTATTCCAGATCAGCAAAAGAGAATGGGCAGATGCTAAAGATAACTGGTCTTTTTGAAAAGTTCGCTGATACATCACTGGGATCAGGAGGGCATACTCTGAATACCTAGCACAATTGAGTTTACAACTGTACTTGCTATAAATCAGCTCAGCACGTTGAAAACTACTTAGGCTTTCCAGGTCAGCTGAGTGCACAAGCAAGATCTATATTATCTATAAACTGTAAACTCTTTCTGGTTGGTTCTGGTGTAGGGTTTTTCACTTGTAAATAAGGAGATTAATTTGGAGTTGCCCCTCTCAGCTCTTGGAGCTTGCATACATTCCAGGTTTCATTTCTTCATTTAAAATGTGTCTTAAACAGACAGAAGCTCAGCCACAGAGACTCTTTTCTGCATGGAAGTGCTGCTCAGAGTTTGGGCAGCCTAAAAGTCAGGTCCGGGGGCCCTTCTTACTTTGCATCTGGCTCTTGCATCACTGTTAATTATAGCGAGTGTGGTGACTCATTTATATCAGCCGTTTTTATCTTTTCCTGCCAGAAGACAGCATTTCTCTGGAGAAGCTCAGGACAAGCAAGGTCAACAGGGAGACAGAGAGAGCCAGGTTTCACAACAAAAGCACAGCCACATTGTTTCAGCTGCAGGAGAAAGGCCAGAGATTCTCACACTACCCTAGCAGTTTAGCTTGAGGTCAAGGTCACTGGCTTTAGAAAGCAGACCAACCTGGGTTCAAATCCTAAATCCCAAGTTTCCTCATCTGTGAATTGGGAATGAGAGTCCCTGCCTGATATGGTTGGAGTGAGGATTAAATGAAGAAAAGTATAAAAACGTCAAGAATATAGCAAAGGCTTACAAGCATCATCTAGGAAAGCTATTACCTAAGAACTTACCTGCTAATTTCCTTTTCCTTCCACTCCCCTCTTGCAGTGTCTAGCCATCCTCAGAGGTCAGCTCTGCAAAAGGACGAAATGTCCATTCGCCTTCACCCCGAACCAGAGTTAAGTTTTGCAGCAATCGGGTTTCTCGCCAGCCTCACCACAGAGACTACATCTGCTGGCTTTGTGTCTTTTGTAAAGCACCTGGTGAGCGCAGAGTGTGTTTTCTGCAGACTGTCAGGAGCCGGTTGGTGAAGTTGCTCAGGGGAGCTCTCTGTGGCCCAGGCTAGAGGCTGTACTGGTTCAGTGGTCAAAATGTGCATTTTCCCATCTTGCTTCACTCTAGTGCCTGGTCCTGTATATGGTTCAATGTCTTTAAAAGCCACTTGCAGTCCCTGCCTCCCCTGCTGGATCTTCTCAGAGGGTTCCAATCATCCCGAGCCCTCTGAACCTCTGCAGCATTCAGTGTATGAAACATCCAGTAGTAACTTATGTCAATGTAGTGCTTTCCCATCTTCTCTGATCTTTAGCACAATACTGTAAAGTAGACAGGGCAAGTGTTATCCCCACTTTATAGATGAGGAAACTGAGGCTCAGAGGAGGCAAGTGGCTGAGGCAGGACTTGGTATTGGTCTTCTGTATCCAAGTTTCCTCCCAAAACATGCTTGATGATGTAGACTTCCACTCTGCTCCATTGTTTTGTATCTATAAATCTTATCTGCCCAGCCAGAGTGTGAGCTTCTAGAGGGAAGGAGATCTTCTCCTTTTCCTCTGTTACTTCCATCAGGGCTTCTCAACTTCCATAGACATCCCCTGGGGAATGTGCTAAAGTGCAGACTCAGATTCAGAAGTTCTGGGGCAGGGCCGGACAGCCTGCATTTCTAACAAGATCCCAAATGATTCCCATCCTGCTGGGCTGTGGACGACACTTTATGTAGCAAGGACTTACAGGGTGGGCTCAGCAAATACTTGTTGAGAGGTGGCTGATGAGATTTGCACTTGACAATCCTGGGATGGCACTGCATTCTTCCAGACTTAGAGAGTGGCAGTGAAGGTGGCTCAGAGCCCTGCTGCAACAGTCTGTGGTATGTGGTTCAGGACAGTCATGTTGAATGTGGTCCAAGGAACTGTGTGCATTTGCCCAGGCGAATCCATCCTTGAGGAGGTTAGCTTTCAAACACAGCCAGCCCATCCCCTGTCAGTGACTTTCCACAAGCAGGAGAGACCTCCCTGGGAAAGATCAGATGTGGTGGATGGTCACACCTGCTTATCCCTCTTCGCACCTCACTCAGTCACACTTGTTGGCATTGGGACTCTGCCTCCCTGATGTCTTATTCTCCAGCATCCACAAGCTGAAATCTTAGGGATTTGGAGAGGGTCTGTTCTTTGTGAGCCAGCAGCCTCACGGGCAGGCAGGGATTCCCCATGTCTTGCCCCTACTCGGAACCACTTGCTCGATTCTCTTGAGTGTCAAAGGGCCAAGGCCATGACCCTTGTAGCCCTGTCCTCCTGCGGGGTGTTTGCACCACTGGTCTTTGACCAAAAGATAAGTCAGGAATAGGTGTACGTGTGTGTGTGCACATGTGTGTGTACAACAGTGGTTCTCAACTGGGATAGATTTGCTCCCCTAGAGGATATTTGGCAATATCTGGAGAAATTTTGGATTGTCACACCCAGATGGAGGGGAGGGGTATGCTGCTGGCATCTAGTGGGTAGAGGCCAGGAATGATGTTAAACAACCCATAGTGCACAGGACAGCCCATTCCTCCCCCCTGCTAAAGAATTGCCTGGCCTAAAATATCATAGTCCCCATGTTGAAAGACCCTGGTATGGAAGAGGCGACTCACTTTCCCCAGACAGAATTGTAACCCGGTTGGAGGGGAGGTGCGATGCAGTCCTTGACTGACCTAGGAATTGCTGTCTGGTCCCTCCATAATCCACCTTTCTGCACTAACTGACTCTCAGGAGGCTTTTCTCTTTGAAGCCTGAAAGCAGGCATGGTGGCTTATAGGAATTTCTCAGAGGTGAACGCATCAGAACCACAATAAGGAAATAAATCCCTAAGAAAATATGACTGTCTTAGCTCTTTTCATTCAGGCTTTTGCTGTTAGTAACCACTTTATCAAGTGATTGAAATTTGTGCAATTATTTATTTGATAGAATCTTGCAAAAGTTAATAAATAAATTCAAATGTTCACGATGATGACCTGGCCCAATTTCCATCGTCAGTTGATGCTATGCTGAGAAAGTAGCTGCTTCAGTGGAGGGCTCTGGGCTTTTCTCCATTTTTCAAGCAAAATCCTGATTCTGTTAGTTCTCAGACTGGCCTTCAGAGGGAAAGAGAAAGCCAGACGGCATGGAAGGGTCGTGTCTACGAGGGCTGGAAAGCCACGAGACCAGCCAGCAGCCAGCCACACACAGGCAACACAGCCAAGGCCAGCGCCTGGGTGTTTTGCAGACCCCCTGAATGGGGTTGGGTTTCAGAGACTTCTGAGGGGATGAGGACAAACTCCTAAATCTGCAAAGATCAGGAATCTGCAAAGTCAGTGCCTTTTAAAACCACCTCATTATGAATGGGAGCCTCAGACAGAGATCGCAGATGTAAGCAGCGCCAGCAGACCAAATTAGTAAATGTGAGTTTAGGAGATGGAGAGGTATTTTTATGGTTCAGGGAGGATTGAATGATGGTCTGGGGGATGGGGCTGAGATCAATGTAAAGAGGAGCAGTTGGTAGAAATGAGTAGCTTTCTCCCCTTGTGTCGTCCCAGGAGCATGAAGGATGTTGACAGTGGCGAGAAGGATTGCCTGACATGGGGAGACTCCGAGAGCCACTGAGGAGGCAGTTGGACGCTAGGAGAAAGAAGGAGGAGTGGAAAGAGGAAGACAGGTCTGGGAAGAAAGATGAAACAGATGAGGAATGGAGTGCGATGTCAGGAAGGTCTGCAGGAAGAGGGGGCTTCTGCCTGACAGGGCCTGACCCCCGTGCGAACCTGCACTGGCACCGTTTAGGCACACCCCAGGACTTTCTCAAATAGGAGACGCCCAAGTGCTAAAAGGCAAATAACAAAGCACACCATTCATTGAACCTCTGTGTGCAGACCAGTGCCATTCCACATACATTCTCTTATTGAGAATGATGCCCATTTTACAGATGAAGAAATTGAGGCTCTAAGAAGCACCTCACACTGGGTCATACAGCTCGTGTGTATGACGGAGTTGAGATTTTAACCTGACCCTGACTCAAAACTCACACTCTTAACTCCAACACTGTACCGTGTTTATCCCCCCATCCCAGAGCATGTTGGCCCCACAAACCAGAAGAGCAGGAATGCCAAGAGAATGCGACTCCCTGCCTGCCCCTTGCTAGGGTACTTGGGGTGTTTGTCAAGTGCCCAGAGGAAGGACAGGCGTGACTGTCAGAATGTTCCCTCCACCATATCCAGTGGTAGAGCCTGTTTATAAAATATGTTTTCATTCAACATTTAATATTAAGTACCGGAACTCGAGAAATGACGTAGCACAATGTTAGCCGGACAGTGATAAAAGGGGAAAATTGTGAAACACATTTAAAAAGTTCAAGGTCAATGATTCCTTTTCAAAAGCAGCATCCTGCTTTCCCAAGGAGCTCTCCATAAGAGGCAGTGGGTTGAGGAGGAAGGCATTGGTTTCCAGTGATGTGAGGGTGGGGCGTCTTGTGGTTGTGACCCCGTGGATAAGATTGTTCCTCTGCTCAGCAGGCAGCCTCCGTTTTCCTAGGATGTATCTGGGTCCTTACCAAACGAAGCCTGCCACAGAGACATCTCCTGTTCCAGGTCTTTGAGGTCTGGAAACATAATGGCCCGTGG